TAACAAAACCATTATACCCTGATTACCCATTTTCAATGGGTTCAGGGTATAAAAACTTATGGGATCATTCCGCATTACTCTGCCCTCATATATATTTAAAACAAATTAGTTTTAATAATTAGAAAGTTTATCAAGAGATTGCCTAATGGTCAAATATATATAAAAAAATTTTGCATTATCTAATGCAATTTATATAATATTTCAATATCTGTAAGATGGAAGAAGACAAAATGGAAATTTTTGAACTCTACACAGATCAACATTCAGTCAATGAGTCACACAAAGTATCTTAGGATTCAGCTAATTGTAATGCAAAATACGACTGCCCCTCTATCAATTGGCAATAAATGTCAAACGAGTAGATCATGATTTTTATTATCTTTAATATCAATGCAGATCCTTCTGTTTTGGCAATTGTGATAAGCCTCAATAAATTTGTTTATATTTTGTTTTCCATGACTTTCGCTTTATAAGCCTAAATGAAGCGTGAACACCAGGCACTCATTTTGATGTATTGCGTCGCCTATTATTATTAATTTTTCTCCCAACAATTGTTATCTACTGCAATAACGGACTGTCCGAATGGCGTTATCAGGCAACAACGCACTCAAAAGGCAAATGCTGCCAATAATAATTAAGTACTCCTGCCTCAGCCTATCTCTGATTAAAGGCAATGGATCCAAAGTGTCAACTCCACAAAAATGAACCGAAAATTGACACACGGAACATTCCAGGCCACACCCAACGATTTCACCTGTATGTTGCTGATAACGATTGTATATATGTTTATAATTATTAATAACAATTAGCTTTTGCTACGACGACTCTGATATTCGGATTGTTGTTGTCCCCATTTCAGTGAGTTAGTCGACTCGGCCTTTTATAAGTTGAGCGTATGCCGTACGGATCCCAAACATAAATTGTGATTCGAAACGCGCGGAGCATAGCAAGTGAAATTTGTATCAATAAAACCTTCAATACAAATAAATCGGCAATAATAATTTCGTTTTGAATGTTCAGTGAGTGAGAAGTAAGTACCAGGAAAAATTTACGATTAAATTGGTAACGAAATAGGCGAATGAATAGAACGGAATACCAGCAAAATGTAGGAATATGTGGAAATCGCAATGCATTGTATTCGTTGTTCAGTTGTACATATATTAAATGCGAAATTCTACCTTTTAGCTATTTTTTCAAAATAAAACTAAACTCAATTTAAAAGTCACCTGCTCATTATGTTGAGCTTCTAGTTTAACCTCTAAATTTTACGCACACAAAATTTTGTGAAGTCAATGAATTTGTTTTTTTCCATTTCTGAATTCGTTTTTCATATCTCATTCAGTTGCTTTAAGTTTCAATTAAGTAACCAAGGCATTTATCTGCCGTGAATCTACGGTTGATAAGCAAGGCTTCTATCTTGAATATTTTTGATGAGCAAGGAAACAAACACTAAAATTATATTATTAAACCATTGTTGTTGTTTTCTGGGCTAAGAGCATTGGAACTGTATGCTTATCTCGCTGCATGTCCAATCAATTTAAAGTGGATTTAAAATCGTGTTAAGTTCGTATTAAATATACAATTTAGCCCATCCAATCACCCATAGTCCAACAGTACAACAACAAAACACGACTTATATAACTGACGCGAATACTTACCTGGCTGTGTTTCCACGTAGCGCAGATAGGCTTTATAACCCAGATAGGCCAAAATATTTAAATCGTTTCAATCCCAATGTCAAAAAAAATCGACAGACTCAAAGAATAACTGCAAAAGTTAATTAAAAACAAAAAAGTAAATTCCAAACGCGTGTGTATGTGCGTGTGTGTGGTCGTGTGTGTGTATAGCCCAGAGGTGTCTGTTCTATATATTCACGCGCCCGCTCTCACTGGCAACTTCGAACTGTGGGCATGTGGCCTGGACGAGTGCCAGGCGGAGTTTCGAACAACAACATGGACTACAGCCAAATGCTTGCAGCTCACGTGATATTGTTGTAAAAAAATCGATAATTTAGGCATCCGGATATTTCAGCAGCTAGATCTGGGCCTAAGCGATAGCATAACAAAGGCGTGGATGGAATTTCTTTGAATCGGGCAAATCAAGCGCATTAAATTTCAATTGCAATGAGGCGCCAACAATGGAATCCATGCAGCGGCGCGCTGTTGCCTAGTTTCAGGCGCGCGATAATTGCATTTCGAGCGCAATTGCTTCCATTGTAAAGGCGGCCAGGACTCAAGCAGCCAACAGCCAACAGCCGCACCTCCATCTGCCACACATACGAACGCATGGGGCTTATATCAAGTATACGACGTGCAGCGCGGCCATGACTATTCTCCCGTTATATGCTTTGATGCTCACACTTGCTGTGTCTCGCTCTCGTGCTGTCTCTTTTCAGCCAGAGTCCCCAGCATGTTTCGACTGCTATTGGTCGCTGCTGTCGTGTGCTGTGCGCAGTCTCACGCCGTGACGTCACAAGACCCACAACTGCTGCAGGCTTTGGGGGATGCTACGAAAGCGCTGCAAGCAGCACAGCAAAGCCTTGAAGAAGCTCTCGGACAGCCGTCGCCGTCGCCAGCTCTGACGTCCGTTAGCGTAGTTCAGGATTGGAGTTTGGTGTGTAAAGAGCTCTGCGGGTAAGTCGACAGTTGGCATTCAAATTGCGCCTACAGCCAGACCAGACTAGGCCAGACTAGGCCAGACCAGGCCAGTCTAGACCTGAATCGGTTCAGTGCAAGTAAAATCTTATCTACATCACGTCACATACAGTGAACTTCACGTTCGATAATCATCCTCGCAAAGTTGAAGAGCTGTCAGACTGTGTGACAAATTAGTGAAAACAATAGAGTGAAATATGTGAAATTTCTTAGTGATATGCAGTGGCATTTTGAGTGTCGATCGATTCCTGATAGCCGAAATACCTTTATGTTGTAGCTGTTTGCAAAATAAATATCAGTTTCATTTTCGAGTGCTAACCGTTTCTCTTTTTTTTCTACGTTTCTTAATGAAATTTTTAGAGCTGGCCTCGGCGTTGCGCCATGTGCGGAACAATGTGCGACGTCTGGCGTCAAGATGATCGCGATCCTGAGCAAAGATTTTGATTTGGTTGAAGGCACGCAACTGCAGGGATTACAGCCAGGTGAGCGAAAGTACATGCAAAATATTTGTCTTTAGTATTTCAGTGATCTATTAAAAGTACAAAATATTTAAGTAAGTATTGATTTTTTTTTTTAAGTACAAAGAAATTTATTTTTTTTTTTTTTACACAAGTCTTAAATATTTTTTGTATAAAGTAATTTTAAATCGAAAATCTAATTTTAATGATGAAGATCAGAATCGAGTAAGAGAAAACTACAACTATTCGCTATTTAGAAGTGGTAATAATAAGATTTTGTACGTGTGTTTAACATTTATTTGTAGTATTCCGTATAACAATAATCAATTTTATTACAGTCTATTTAAGTTCATTTAATAATTCAATAAGTAAATTGGTAATCTAACGTAGCTACAACGTAAATCGTATCAATGAAACATATCAAATCATATCTTAATTTAAAATATCTCAGATCTCCTTTATAATATATATAACCTTATATTTTATTATTTTCGACAGTTTGTAAAATTTTATGGAATTACAAAAGCAGATATACATATATTATTTATATGTATTCTTTACAACAGCCGATTCAATCCATTCAGTTGCCAGTCTATGTGCTTAATTCTTAATTAATAGAAAGTGTAGAGTTTATATCTTGATTCTAGGAGCCTTTAAAGCTAAAGTTCTATTAACAGATAAAGTTTATCAAACAAAATCTCTAGTTATTTCAGATCAAGTCGCATATTATAAAATCGAATTAATTAACATTTTGCTCATCATTTTAAATTAATTAAAATATATATATCTAAAAAAATTGAGTAGAATTTTAAAAAAGTCTAAAAAGTCTTAAGCTCGTCTAATATAAAATTTGATATACACATTGAAATATAATTACATTTTAATAATATGCTTACACCAAACCTTGTTTCTGTCTACCACAGTTGAGGATGTTGAAGCTTATGGCACTCGCCTGTGCAGGAGTTTTTGCCAACAACGCCAACGCGCGCTCAACGGCTGCAGTCCTTGCCAGTTGCTGGATGTTTTGGATGGGGCCAGGACAGAGCAGAGTGTGACTACACATGGTTCCGGTGCAGGTGCAGGTGCAGGAGCAGCTGCCAGTGTTGTCCGGCGAGCAGCTATGCTGCCCATGGCCATCGCTGAAGACGATGGCACACCGGACTGGGACGAAGTGTGCAAGACTCTCTGCAAGACTGGCGATGGCGGGTCTTTGTGCAACTGTGATTTATCGCCGTTTTTTCATCTGAGCTAACGCGGCTCGGCTGAAGGTACATAAATCACAACCAATTATATATGAAACTATATAATATTTCTGTTGTTATTTTTGTTGTACACTAAAAAATATATACTTTGATTTGGTGTCGTTCCGTTTGTGTTTATGCTAGTGTTGTCTCTAGATATACCTTCACAGTTGTTCTTAGTTGAATTGTAAAAAAAAGTGAAAACGGAAGGCGAATCTATATAAATCTAATTATAAGTGCGGTGCAATAGTCCGCCACGAGCAAAAAACAAAGCAAAGAAAAAACGAAATTCCCTATGCGAATCAATTAATTTGTAATTAATTTCAATTAACAAACTAAAGTACTATGGAACATAGTAAGCTAAATAATAATAATAATAATGATAATAATAGAAAATCAAAACTTCAAAATTAAAGTTCTCAGCTTGTTGGAGAGAAACAGCAACAAATCACAAAAGGGCTTCCAGTGAGGCAGCGGTATCTATATCTATATCTGTGTCCTTATAGCTCCGATATATCTGTTTAGATGCCGGTGTCTGCACAAATACAAACCTAAGGATTAGTTGTACGTCATGAAGACGACAGCAAAAGTGAAGAAACGAAACGAAAATAAACGTAGAAATCACAACCAATTAATATCAAAAATACACAACATATCGTCGTAAACCAATTATTTACACATCAAAAAAAAAGCCAATCTATTATAATAAAAATTTTATTTCATTAATGGAATCAGCATATCAATTTTACAAAGGCAGAAGGAAAAGTTGATTACATCTTTTTAATTATAATAATTTCGGCTAAATATAACAATATCAGCATCAATTACGTGTCGCAATTATAAATGTTAACCAAGAGTTTAGTGTTGGTTATTGAACAGCCCATATGAACCCAATATATATATAGATATAGCCATATAAACATATATATATATATATATATATA